TAGTAAGTAGTAAGTAGTAAGTAGTAAGTAGTAAGTAGTAAGTAGTAGTAGTAGTAGTAGTAGTAGTAGTAGTAGTAGTAGTAGTAGTAGTAGTAGTAGTAGTAGTAGTAGTAGTAGTAGTACAACAATCTGTGTGCATTGTTCTTTTCTGGCGAGTGAATACTATAAATATGGATCTGGACTGGTTTTTTTTGCTAATTGTTGGCCCTTTTTGGTCGAATAATAAATCAAATTTGATCTGGTTTTTCTGGACAGTTTTGATACTTTAATTGCGGGCACACATACTGATCTAACATTATATATATATATATACAGTATACATATATATATATATATATTGGTATATTACACTTTTTAGACATCCGAACGCTCCACTGTATTTCACAGCTGTATCCACCGTGTTTTCGGGTGATGGGAGGTGGTGCAGGATCTCGTCCATCAGCCTTTTGCTAGAGGGGGAAGGACTTGATATTCTGATTCAAAGTTGAGGTCTGAGGCAAACTAGGAGTCAAATTCTAATCGAGTTTTTTTCATTTCAATCTTGTAGGAGTTCAGAAGCGATCCTCGGGTTCATGCTGCGCTGAAGAGTGCTCTTCTGAAGCTTGCGGGCCCAACCTCATCGGGGACCTTGCCCATCGCTGTGAAGCTGAACTGGGGCGTGGCGAAGACGGCGAGGACGGTGGAGGCTGATACACGGCATCGAGGTCTACTGGCTGTGGTGACATTGGGCTTCAAAATTCACATCCAAAGTGAGGAGGAGAGACTGTTTGAACGTGTTCTATAATAATAGTTTGTGTGTGCGGTTTCCATCGGTTTCCTACGTTTTCCTATCTCGGATCTGTGGATACTCCAGGCCAGTGTAGTGTATGGTGGTGTGGTGTTTGATTGCCTCGAGGACAGCTTGGGTGTTTGCCAAGTGCTCTCATCGAGATCTCGGGAAGGCAATTTCGCGTATGTCAACGTTGTTTTTGGCAACGTTTCATTTTTGTAAACATTAAACCCACATTCAGTGAATGCAACATTGCAGGGTGGTGAACGCAACATTGCAGGGTGTTCGAACGCGGAATGGGCACGGTGCATGCCGTGAAAAAAAAACGTTTTACATCGTTTTTTACTGGATTAGGTTTTGCAGAAGTGGCGGTGCTGGTTGAATGGAACACTATTTCTTTTAAGACCGGGTTGCTGGCGCGCTTGCGCCAGATGCAGAGAAAGTCATCAAGAAAGAGCTCCAAGAAGCTGGTGTGCCTGGTTCCATCAAACTTGTGAACCTACACGTCGCACCAAACCCTCTATCATACAATCCAAACCAACCAGAAACTGGCCGGCATGACCCAGAATCATTTTCTATCATTTTCTAGTTTTTCTTGATTACTTGCGTCTTGTGATCTCTTTTGCATCTTAATCTGACCCTTGTTGTTGTTGGACAGTACTGGTGTTTGGAACCGTCTCGACCACTGCCCAGGATCCCACGGAGTTTGTCCCTACGGGCGTTAGCCTTGACGAAGTTGCGGCAAACCCTGTGGAGTCACCGAAAGAACATGTTGCAAATGTCCAAGCGCCCTGGTCTGGAAGCGTCTCGACCACTGCCCAGGATTCCTCTGAGTTTGTCCCCACGGACGTTAGCCTCGACGAAGTTGTGGCAAACTCTGCGGCGGAGTCACCAAAAAAAGATGTCGGCAGCGTTGCGTGGTGCGTGGTGCATGGCTGCTCTGATTGGCGGTTTCTGGCGCACCACTGTTGAGTTTGGCGAGAATCCCGAATCGAGGGCCTGGGGTTACAGTCATGGCCCATGGCCGAAGAGTTCCTTCAAGGAAGTTGGATTTGGATTAGATTGCTTTCGGAACTTTCGTGCCATCTGACGTATTGGAAGTGGAGCAAACCCATTCCATGCAACGCCAGTAGAGGACCCCCTGGAAAGAGCCGTTTGCGTTGGCAGTTTTGGCCAGGCCGAAGACTGACGAGCGTGACATGGCGTGAAGATAGAGAGCACCGTCCACGTGGGTGAAACCCCCATGAACGTCCGATTTCTCCAGAATAGTCCATGGAAGGCCTTGAAATAATAACAAGGACGCTACTAGGTGGAGGGGGCGCTCCTGGCATTACTGACTGTCCATGAAACTCCATGAAACCGCTCGGGGGGATCTTGTCCCATTGGACAGTCACGCAATTTGGTACTTGGTGGGCAAAACACATTTGATTGGGACGCGAACCAAGTCCCAGGTGGTTCAACACAAACACACAGGTGTATGAACACGTGATTCAGGTGCTAGATGGCGGTGCCATGGTGCCCCTATCAAGACAGAAGCTGCAGTGGTTGGAGTTATATAGAAGTGAAGGATCAGATTTGCCTTGTTGGATGAACAGGCATTGACCTCTCAGTGCGAATTGAACGCAATTTTTTGGTTGGTTTCTTTGTTATCCAGGCATTGACCCTCTCCAGGTTAAAAGTCACACATGATTCGCGGTTGGCACCTGCTTTGCATCAACTGCGGTGCTTGCGGTATCCTTGGGATCATCCTTAAAGAGCCCACGTCTTCGCATCACCTGCCCAGCTCACTTGGTCTAGGCTTGCCACGACTGCAACCCAAAGAGCAGGCGGATCGGATCCAACGGTTCGGAGAAAGGACGTGGACGTTTGCAGGGCTTCCAAGGTGATACTCCTTTGGAAAGAAAGATGCAAGCAAAAGTAGAGCAAAGCTTTTCAGATGTGAGGTAGAGCGAGCTCGTTTCCCATCGTGAGCTGAAGAAAGGTGACTTATTTAATTACCTTTGATTACATTACTTGACCTATTGATCCTCTGGTTTTCGATCCCACGGTCCACCGTCTCCGGCACAGTCGTGTGCTGAGCAGCTGGTCACGGAGTTGATGGCCGTGCAGAGCCCAGACACCGGTTGAACGAACAGAAAGGTATGTGGAAAGATTCTGGTAAGCTATGGTAAGCTTCACAGAACGATTCTGTCAGGCAGAGATCACAGAGGTGAACCCCACGGTTTTGCGAACCACGGTTTGTGGGGCCTATTTTGTAACAAACACTCTTGATTCATTGATTCCCGGCATGCCGAGACTCAAGAAACACTTCAGGGTGGAGGGGTCAACTCAATGTGTCATGCTGCTTTTATTCGGCGTGGTTTCCCCGAAGGGGGACTTCCGGAACATACCCCAAAGGAAAAGCTTGGGCCAACGCCCTCATTTGACACCTAAGCCTGGGGCTGTGCTGTAGACATCCTTCACTTCACGACATCCTAACAGAGGTTAGAGAACCTTATAGACTATCCCATAGGTACCCCAGAATGGTCCTATAAGGTCACTTAACCTCTCGTGGTCCTAACACTGCTTGTTGGTAGAGGAGAGTGCTTGTTTGTGGAAGGAAAGAGCTATATTTCGTTGACGTTTCCGATCGCAGTCCGCCGACGTTTGGCCATTGACCGACCACTTCGACAGCTGTTCGGCTCAAACGAAAGCTGGTCTGGGGTCTTGGAATCGGAAATCGGTCGAACCCTCAGCTGAGAGGGACTTCTCCACAAGGACGGTGGCGGGCGATCCTTGGCCGGGGCGTTCGGATGCGTCGTTTGGGGTTTGGGTACATCAGAACTCCCGTTTGATCTGACCTTCTCGACGCCCCAAACTGAAAACATCTGAACATTATCCTTCCCTTCTCGCCTTATTCAAAGAACCAGGTATTGAAATGCTTCTCATCCAAAAGAGAAGGCAGACATGAAACAGATGGACGTGCTTTAAATCAACAATCTAACCAACGGACCAATGGGTTTTGGATGGTTTTGATATGTCTATAATAGTCTATTTCTGTGTCACCAGTGGTTTATCCCTCTTTTGAGACATCCTTGTGGGATCAAGCCTTCGAGGTGAAAGGAGCACAGCGTTCCAGGTTTCAGCGGCATTCCCACGAAAAGTTCATGAAAGTGACACGGTTCGGTCAACGGGTTTTGCTGGTTGAGATGCACTTTCCAAACGGTAGGCATTGAGATCCATTCCCATCTGAACTGATGAGGATGTGCTCCTGAGCTTCCTCAGACGTTTGGCAGACTCTCTTCACCCAAAGGCTCTGGTCCTGCCTCGAGTTGTGAGGTCCAAATGATCAAACATTTCAGTGCGGAGCTCAGGACGATGTCAAGTGGACAGATGTGCGTTCTTTTAATTACTTCCCCGATGCATAGGATGTTCGGGTGCCACATTTGGGTATGGACAACAACATAGACACCTACGTACTTGCTTGAGGTTTGCTCAGGTTTTCTTCATAGAGTTAAGCGTTTGACTGGTGAGTGGTATATGCCCTATTGTTGAGCCACTTCGCCATGGAATCCTTCCACACCTTGTGCCACACGAGTTGCCAACCTTGGGGTCTCCCAAGCTGGGAACACGTTCTGTGGGAAGGTCGGGGGTCGATGGGTAGACATCCTCCGTCATCCTCCGTCAGAGCGACGGTGAGTGACCAAGCTCGGGAAGACCAATGCCAGCCCGACCGGGTGTCAGGCGCGTCCTTCCTTCGAGGATCCTGGATCCAGTCATTGCACATCGACCTATGAAGTCTCTTTTGAACGAAAGAATCCATTTGGATGACTGGAAATGACTGGAACCAGTATCTAGTTCTATAGGAAAATGTCCCGGAAGAACCTCCCCAACACACACCGAGAAACCCTTTGGGACGGAGTCTTTCACCCATGGCGTCGTTGTTCCACGGCGGAGAGTCGCCGATCGATCGGCCCAGGCGAACTCGCACTTTTCGCTGCTGGGCCGAACGACGGATGCCACGATTCGGTCGTTACCGGTGGAAGGCGATGGCCTCGATTCGGTCGTTATGGCCTCCACCTAAAAAGGTAGCTTCGGTCGAAACCTTTCGAAAGCGACCTGGTCGTTACTTTCTCATGTTTTTCGTCGTTTTCTTGATCGAGATTCGTTGATCGAGCATGGTGGTCTGCATACCAAGACTTGTAATGTTCGTTCTTCCGCAAAGTGGCCGAGTAGGGTTTTAGACCCATTCCCTTTGTCTGAGTAGGGAGTGATGGGAGTGAGCGAAAGGCAGTCTAAGATAGATACATGACACATCGCTGGGGCACGGGGGGCAGATGAGTGGCAAAACTCGGTCACTAGGACTCACCAGCTGTCGCTAGCTATTAGAAGAAGGTTTATCAGAGCCAGTGAGTTACAGTATTACAAACTTTACCATTGGCCAATTTTGTCAGGTCTCTATTGGATGAAGCTGGTGAAAATAATCGATGATTGGCTAAGGCTAAGGTTCCACCCATCATCCTTGCATTTTTCTCGCCTTTGTGCCCTGCTTAGCTGCTAGTGCTTGGATGTTTGACCCGCTTTCTTTGAGGTGGGCCTGCTGCGCCTGGCAAATGGCCTGCGGGGACCTCAGCCTTCAACTGCTGGACTCAGTGGGGCACCATTTCCTGGTAGATCGTGACAGGCTCAGAAGAATCGACATAGGTCGAGGACTCATGGTGAACTGGCCACATGTGGGCAGTCACACGGGCTCACCAACCCAAACGGTCGCTGAAGTCTCGGCGAAGAATGCGGGGCAAATACCCCAGGGTAGATCCCATCTCATTTTCAGGGCTGAGATAGGCCGACCGGGCCGAACTGGAAGTTGGTGTCTTAGCCTTCGGAGTCTAAACAACATTCATCAACATGTATTAGTCCAAAAAGACTTCGGAGCCCTTTGCATCCGCCTTTCATGGGTCGATCAAGGTCGTAAAGATCGGGCCCTCCTGGTGTATTTTGCGGATTTGTTTTCATCGCGAGGCCCAATGCCTCGAACGTCTCGGTGTTCAACGCCTCTAATGCCTCCTGCCTTTGTATCTTTGATGTGGATCGCACCTTGACCGGGCAGCAGTATCTCCTGGGTCCCACCTGCAGCTTGGCGTGGGTGAACCCGGGTTTCGGAGGGATGGCGTGGGAAGCGGCATGAAGCGGGGTGTTCAAGGGTGGGAGGAACTGGTAGATAATTAAGTGAAGACAATATGAGATATATGAGGACAATGACCATCCCTAGCGTTTGCCTCAAAAAAGTGCCTGACTGGCGGACGAGGGATTGTGGAAGTGAGGCTTGATTGATAAGCTGAGGGTTGATGCAGAATGGCGCGGAAACGAAACCAACTTTGAGATGCAAGGGTTGGCATGGGGCAACATGCGGTTGGCCTGCACCTCTTCTTGAAGCTCTGTGTGCTTCAAGGGCTGAAAGACCTGCTCAGCGTTCTCTCAAGTGGATTCTCCGAGAAAAGAATAGAAAAAAAGACACCATTTCTCAAGTCGAGAAAAAGGGTCACAGATTCTCAGATTCCTGTCATTTTCTGTGTGAATCCGATGCATTTGGAGAAGCCTGAGGCAGTTATGCCTGAACATTCTGATGTAAGGAGACGTACTCATACTCCTAAGGGGTTCTGGTTGATACATCCTTGATCACGTGTGGCAGTCAGCATGTTCAGCTGGCCACGGATGACCATCAGTGGCACATGTATATGTGCTGCAGCGAAGTCGCTCACAATTCTGGTTTCTTTTCGTCGGACGTGTTCCCAAGAGCAACTGCACTCGGAATCATCATGGTGTGCCATGCAGTTCCTGCGTTCTCCACCGGTGACTGGAGATCGGTCCGGACCCGGACTCGGGCGCCGACTCCCACGACGTGGAGGGGCGTCGTTCGCGCCCAGGTCCAGAGAATCAGATTCAGCAAGGAGTGAAAGAGACTTGGCCAATCAGCAGACTGCAAAAAGCAGTCTGCACTTAGAGTCATTGGAAAACAGAATAAGGCTCTCTGATTCTGTGTCACCCTTCTGGAAGACACGAGCCCCTCTGTTCCTTCCCCACCCGTAACTGCCGGATGCTATTAGTGGCGGGCAGGTTCATTTCTTCATTTCGCTTCAGGATACAGCCTATGGCGGTGGCTTGCTCACCTTGTCCGAGGCCGTCTCTGCCGGTCTCGAAATCCCTGACGAAACGCTCTGACGCTCTGGAAGCCCTGCGCTTCCATGCGCTTGTCGGAGTGTACTCTCGACGCAAAGTGCAAGCAGACCATGCCAGAAACAGAAGAGGACATTGTCCATTCACGTTCGTCCATGAATTTTCCGATGACGATTCGAGGATCACAGTGTATAGGACAGGGGCGCAGGGCCTGTGGCAGAAAGCTGGATGTTTAGAGCCTAGGAATTCCTACATGGAATGTGTTACCTGATCACTGAACAGTTCCAGAGAGCTTGTTATCACTTGCAGGTCGGTCAATCCTTGATGAACACCTCTTGCACGAGCTGCTTCGTGGGTGTGATCACGGCTGGCGATGTGAGTGGTCCTCACAGCAAGGAGATGGGGGTGGCGGATGGGTCTCCCTATCTCTCGGAACATATCGAAATCGATGAAGGTCTCGGAGGTCCAAGAAGTTGTTAGGAAAGATGCATCGGAAGGACTCCCTTTTTGGTTGTGAATAATAGGTAGGCTTCCCTTTTTTTGTGTGCCGGCAGACTCGAGAATTTTCGCGGACTCATTCTGTTTGGTCCATAAATCAAAGCGCAGACTGTAGTGACATGATGTGAATATGATATCAGTAACAAGGGGCATGGCATCTGGTTCCGACGCCGGAGCAGCCCTTTCTCCCCTCCGAGGAGCGAGAGCTTCTGGTCCAACACCTGGACCATCAGGGTCAGCTCATTTCTCAGGATTGGTTGGGACGCCTGGAAGGTCTCAGGAGCGCTCCTGGCATCGCTACTAGGTTACTAGGAGCGTTCGGACGCTACTAGGGGGCTCCTGGCCATACTACTAGGACCTAGGAGCAATGTTCGCTACGAACGGAGCAAAGGGATAGCTTCGAAGCCGACTGAAGTCGATGGATGAAACCCCTTGTGGAGTGGACATGTATGGAACTGGCTTTAGGATCTCGCTGATCTTGCTTGTGACACTACCTGATTAGATCTCATTATATAGATCATATATCAAGTATATATATATATATATGGGAGTTGATCGAAAACCCCGTGTAAGGAGTTTTATATAAAACAGCCTTTCAGATGTTGTTAGAACCATCCGCGAAAGATTCGCGATGAGGTTCGCGAAAGTATCTTTTTTTTTTTCCGCGAAAGATTTATCGAAGGTCATCGCTTTCATTGTTTTCCTTTCTACCGGACTGACAAAGAATAGAAACGCAAGGCAATCCTCCGGCAGAGCCAGTGGGCGAAGTGTCCCCATGTCACAGACTAACGAACTGAAGCCCCAACATTCCCCAAGCTGCATCACCCTGTGTTGGTAGCTGACACGAGGATTGGGTTGAGTTGTGCCTGACTCTATTTGGCACAATTGTCGCACAGATGCTGCAAGTGACCCTGAGTAGCTGTGCAAACGTTCACCATCTACTGGGGTCATGCTGCAAGACGTCTCTCCCTATTATGACGTGTTCCGGCTCATGTTAGCTAGACATGGTCGTAGGACCATGCTTCGCGATGAGGCCGCGAAAGATCCGCGAAAGATATCTTTTTTTCCGCGATGAATGGCCATTCCAGGATGAAAGAATATTGATCAGCCACCATATATATATATATATATGTAATACACGTAAACATGTCTACTTGGCTCAAGTGTTTGTACCTCAATTGAACTCATGCAGCCGGCCATTTTGGGTCCTTTTTGGGCCTTTACTGCAACGACACGTCGTTTGGCCGCATCTAAGGTCAGGACCCTCTGCCGGTGGCGAAGCGCGACGGCCGTGCCACCCCTGGGATGCCCAATCTATGTTGGTCACAGGCACACCACAACTGGCGTGACGGTTTCAGAGTAGATAGCACAGGTTTCCAAGGTCGGTGTTTGAACACTGGACCCCCATGTTTTCAATCAGGACATCATGAAGGGGCTGAAACAACTGGAATACTTTTGGAGACTTTTGGTGGGAACCAACATGAAAGATCAGGCCATCCCTGGTGAAGATGCCCTATTTTCACCTACAATACTCTTCGCATGATCTTGGGGAACCGTTGGTTTGGCTTCGTTCATGCCTCATTCTTTGGTCTGATGGTCCAAAAACTCAGCAAGAATGGCAGGCTGCGCAGATGGTAGCAAGCAAGAGGCTGCCAAAGGGATGATCTCTTGGTACCTTGGAGACCGACGTCCAGCGGACATGTACTGTTGAGATTCGATCAAAGACATTATATAGTTATTAGTTTCATTCGGAATGCTGAAAGTTAACATGACCGGAATTGTCTACCTGAAGAGGAGACCTCGATGTCCAGTTATGGGCTGGTGTTGTTGAATTTTGGTCCATGCCACGATTCATGAAGAGTCATTGAAGACCTGGAGCTCCATAGACATTTCTGAGTGTATTTGTTTTCCATTTAAGCAGGTCAACCCTGGCTTTCAACTCTCCCCGTGCAAAACTCTTCAGCGGCCGGGAATCGCCGGCGTGCCCTTCACGATCTGGGCAATCTGTGTCAGTTGACGTCGGTTCTGGGATGTGACAGCAGGTTTGTCGTGACAAACGGATATACAGACAGTGGTTTCAGAGGAATTCGATGGCGCAATCCCCAAAACGTGGTTTATATGGACCCCCATATAAAAGATGTGCCATCTATTCTGAAACCACTGCAAGTAAACGGATTGCAGCGTTCCGTGCAGTGAGGTGTGTTATCTCTCGTTCGGGTGGGACGTCACACTCCCCTCGATGTCCCCGTAAGGGTGACTGCTTTTCTCTGTTTACATTCTTTTTATTTGATCCTTCGCCCTTCGCCCTGTTCCTGTGGCCCTCAGGCTTTCGACGAAGGGTATCAACATCCAGCTGTCTCACGTTTGGCACTTCGACGATCGCGCCACCAACGTGAAGCCCTTCGCCGGCACGGGCATGAACGCTCGGGAGGTCTCCTGCGCTACCAGGCGGCGCCGGACCCGGATGGAGCCCCGAGACGTCTTCCGGTGAAACGACACTGGTCACGTGACAAGACCGGTGAAAACGAGTGACATGGGTCAAAACGGACTTGGTGAAACGAGTGACATTGGTGTCGTTTTTGGACGCCAGGGACAAGAGCATTGGCATTGGTGTGTGCGGTGCTGCAACGCAGGAGTGACGAGTGGCAGGAAATTCTGCCATGACGAGTTACTTCTTGATATAAATTCAAAAGAACTCCGCTCCGGCAACCTCAAGTCAAAGCATCATGGTAAAACTCGTGAGGTGGGAGGTGTTTAGATAACAGTTTAACCGTTCAACCGTTTAAGCTTAAGAATTCGCATTCCAGGCATGTTATTGCCACATATTGCCTTTAGTCAGATGGCAGCTATGACATAGCAGCTATGACATAGTTTTGTGTCCTATTTTTCCCTATTTGTTGTCCTATTTGTTTCCAATTTTGGTTCTGGTCCTATTCCTATTGTTTCTTTCTAATTATTACGAAAGCCAGCCGATAGGCTAGGCTTGAGCTCTTAGACCCAACGAAGTGAGTAAAGGGGGTGGGGGGGGGGGGGGAGCGCTCCTAAGCGAGGGTCAGAAAAGCGGTGAAAATGGGGTCTGGTGATGCGAGTGATGCAATGGACGCCGAGTAGTGCATCATTAGCATCACGAAGGGCTGTGGAGGCTATCTGGACAACGGGCATCGAGCACCGGAGCGGAGACAGGCACCCATGCACAGAGCAACCGTCCTAGTCTCTACTATACCTGTACCGTCGAGCGGATGCTTCTCGCGGCGTCCACGTGCACCGAACGTTGTTCCGGCTTGGCCGCGCAGCTAGATAGTACAGAATAGATAGATAAGTCGATAGATCATAAATAGATAGATAGATGGATAGATTGATAGATAGATAGATAGATAGATACTGGTTGTATGTATTGGCGCAAGTGTGGTTGTTGGTTGGCAGCGACGAGTGTAGATAGCAACTTGGTGGCGTGAAGAACTTGCTGCTTAAGGACGGATTATAGTCACGGATCTATGCCATATTTTTAGATCACGGTTGGTGACACCAATGCTGAGACATATAGTTCCTGCCATCCTCCTAGTCATCCTGTCAGAGAAGTCTCCTTGGATGTATTGGGGCAAGTATGGTAATTGGTTGGCAGCGACAAGTTGCTATCAGAAAAGGACCCCGTGTAGATAGCAACTTCTCTGTGTTTGATGTCTCTGTTTTTTATGACTCTGTGTCTCTATGTCTCTATGGTTCTGTGTCTCTATGTCTCTGGGAAGAGGGTGTAGCTGCGCCGTATGATTATTTTTTTGGGGGATCAGTGGCATAAGCCCAAGGAAAGTCCCCAACAGCAAGAAGCGCCACTGAGACAGTCTCTTCGCTGTCCAAGCCCTCCTCGGAACCTGCTCCGGAACCTTCTCCAGAACCTCCTCATGGACCTGCCCCGCCACCTTCTCCCGAGCCTTTTGCTATGTAGCAAGTGACCCTCTCGTCTGGCGGCTGCTGGCTTTCGTTCCCCCCCTTCTCAGGCATATATATAATTACATTTTTTGCAACTTCCAATGCCAAACTTCATTCAGCACTGCACATGATAAACAGTTCCATCCGTATGAAATGATTTGGGATAACATAGAATCTGTGCTTCTTCACATCTCTTCACATCTGCCCCGGTCAGTTCCAGGAGATCATCCGGGAGCCTGGCATTTCTCTGTGTGCGACTGATGACTTTCTGGTCTAAGATATCGATCTGCTTCCAGATCGCTGGACTAATCCAACAGCCCATCTTGCGCTCTGTCCCCGAAGTGCTCGTAGATGGTTAGATTGTTACATGCATCAGTCCTAGAACAACAAATAATGCTTCCTTTCTCTCTTTCTCTAGCTAGTTGACTGTTTGATCCTTAAGTTAAGTTGGCTTTGAGTATCTTCGCGGCCTGAGCCTTTTGGAAATTCAAATGATGTGTTACAAACGGGACATGGCAGACCCTCCTCCGGTAAAGACGAGGTTTGGCATGTTCGACCGTCTTGATGTTCGACCCCTCCCGGGGATCGATCCCTGTACAGACGTTCGTCGCCAAGTATGTGGCCCGGTCACACGCACCCGGCGAGTTGGCGGGTCCAGAGTGAACTCTGATTTGGCAAGAAAGTGCGAGTGAACGAAGAGCTGCCCTGCCAGGTTTTGGGTCCAGAACGAACTGAAAAACTGGCCATCTTTTTAGACTCAATCCCAGGGACAAGTGAACACCATTTCTTCTAACAATCACTTGAGTGATAGACGGACGTGAAATCCCTTCAAGTCCCCAATACCTAAGACAGACACCGTTTCTATGGAAATCGGGGAGGCGCCCCTCAAGGGGGCCATGTCTTCATGATTCGTCGAGCAGACGGGGCAACCTAATAGCAATGGCCTCCAACCTAGTAGCAATGGCCACCAACGGGCTCAGTTTTTTTTTTATGCGAAAAGACCTTACAGACGGGACCCCATCTCATTTCTCATGTTTTGCAGCAAACCGACTTCGACAGCGAGAAACCTGTTTTCCTCAACTTATGGTTAGTGGTTTCATGTAGGGGTTCGGCGCTGTCTGAAGCTCCAAGATGAATTTGCATCCTGTTGGCGGCAACGAGCTTCAACTATGCACCCCTTGCCCATTTGAAAGGTCCATTCTGAATGAGCTTCGTCCCCGTGGTCGCAGAGCACAGAATTGCCAAACACCTCCGGAAACACCGCGCGTCGCTGCTCCGGTGACCGTTTTTGGACACTGCAAGCGTTCGACGTGGGGATGAGTGGAGAGACATCCCTCCACGTCCTCGCTTTAGGCCTCGCGCTTGCCGAGCTTGGCAACGATGAGACCAGGGCTGGGATGCTGACCGGGCCACGGACGGATCCGGGGCGTCGTGGGATCGGCGGGTTTGATTGCTTGGCTGGTTTGTCTTCCACAGTTGACCCGCCCAAAAAGAACAGAAAGGACCTTTTAACAGAAGTTCATTCTCTTCACAACTTCCTGGCTAAGCGGCTAAACGGTTTCCGGTGACGTGGGATGGCTTTGGGGGGGGTGGTGGGGCCGATGTCTTAGCCGCTGGTCAGGTCCAAACTGCCCTCGCTGGAAGCCACAGAGGCCGGAGCGCATGCTTGTCACGCCGTTAGAGCGGATGGGATCCTTGGCAAGTAACATGGCCTGAAATGGCCACAGTCAACACCCTGTTGGCCAACTCAGATGGGTGCGTTTTTTTTTGTGCATGTGTATTTCAATATGGGAAGACCCGTGGTTTTGGCTGGGTATAGACAGGTCAGTTTCCGAACCTGAAAAGGGGGTCATTGCCTGGGTGGTCTCCCTAATACATAGCCACGTGTTTTGGAATGTTTTGGATGGTTTCTGGTGGGTCATCCCAAGCATCTTGATTCGCGACTTGAAGACGGCAAGATTGGAGGATCTCCCCTGTTTCTTTTTGGATATGCAGAGATTCGGGTTCTTTGGTTGGTTTGATCTCAGCGGGCCTGTGGCAGGATTGGGATGCCGAAACATGGAGCAGCTTAGCAGACGTTGGACTTTGCTCCCTTGGCAGACGTGGACAAGTGCAAACGCCCACATGCTTTCCATGCCGAGGTGACACGCGTTCCTCCCTAGGGGTTCCTGCCTCAGAAGGGCTGGGGGAAGTGGTGCGAAAGGAAGATCCACCAATGAAGATGGTCCAGCTGCCTAATCCTGCTCTCTGGGTGCAAATCTGGGACGATCAACGAGATGATCCAGCTTTGGGTCGCACAGCCTGTGAAACACATGTTTCCCCCATCCTCAGCGGTGCGATCCCTGGGAGAGGCAGAGAAGTTGTGAACATTCCAAAGGCTGTTGTGCCACCAACGAGAATCACTGGATCAGGGGAACTTAATCGAAGGCGATCGGAGTGCAAAAACATCACAGAATCGATCAGAATCGAAGATCGCCATCAATCACCACAGATCAGAGCACCACAGATCATCAGCCTGGCGCGACTTGTAAGGACTAAAAAATCACTTCTCACTCTAGATCCTGATCGAATCCTACCCACTCCCACTCCGTCCGCCCCACCCCGTCCCGTCCTCCAGTCACACAATCACACCACACCGATCAGCTGGAGTCCTCAAACTCTCCCCGATCGACACCACCAGGGACTGATCCTCTGAGTCCTTCGAAGAGACGAAACGAAGAGACGAAGGAGTGGTCTTTGGTTTCCCCACTCCGGAGGGACCAATCACATCGGTTGGTTCCATTTTTTGTTCATATTTTTTCAACGTGTCCAGTTGATGTATAGGGCTGGGATGGACTGAGGCCTTAGGCATACCTCCGATTTGCAAACCCCAGCACGTCACGTCCAACACCTCCCGGGGAACGTCGCGCCCCACCGTTCGTTCGGTCTGAGGAGACAGCACTGGAGTCCCAGCTCCAGGACCTCAACGCGAAGCGGGAGTCCTTGGGTTGGGGGAGCTCAGACCGACAGCCAGGCCGTTCGACCACAAGAGGACCGGCCGGTTTGGGTCCGAACCCGGTTTTTCGCCACGTTGGGTCCGGTCTGAAGTAGAATTTGTTTGGGGGGGGATGCGGAAGTTGGAACGATCCACGTGTTCGATTTGATTTGTAAAAGAAGTGCATCGTATGCTTTTGCATCTGAATTGGCCCTCCCAAAGGGAATGTTATCGTCGATCCTTGGCAGCTGTGGGTGCTCCCTTCAGCCTGGAGGTCTGGTTGAGACAATCTGTGGTGATAACCACTGAGTGGATGGACGAGAAATACAATCAGCCAATTGTTTGCATCAGCGCGTCTAAGCCTAAGCATTGTTTGCAGCGGCTTTTCTTCTTTTTTGGCATCAAACTTCACCTGACACCATTTTGGGAGCATGCGGTAGATTGAAGTGTATACGATTTGACACGCCTTGACAGGTTCCGAGGATGATGCCAGAGTTCTACGATGTTTTATGTTGTTTTAGGTGCAAGCTCCGAGTCTACTGAGAGTGCCTGGCGCATCCTGATTTTGTCTATTTTTTTAAGCCTTTGTTCTGGTTCCACAGTCCCGGATTGTCTGGATTTGTGGTGGGATCTGCTGCTCTGCGCCAGGCGACACGCTTTCCACACAGGAGGTTTTGGCTCGACAGGTGCCTGGAACGGTGGAGTCGCTGGGAATGGATCGCCGGCAACAAGACGCTGGGAAAACTCGGGACGGACGACATGAGCGCAAACAGGTCTGGTTTTTGGTGGCCTTCCATTGTGGACGTGAGAATCGGAGACAGATGCTTCCCACATGCCTTGCTTTTCTTGAGGTCCTTCACGACAACGCCAGTGTTGAGGTGCCCTGGCGGGAGGCAAGCGTCAAGTGTCAAGGTCCACTAGGCTGTGGTGCATCAGAGGCATTTGGTATCCGGTATACCGTATGGCCCTATGGTACACGCGTAGATATACATCAGAATCATCATTGAGAGTATTTTTGAGTGTAGGCAAACAAAGGCATGTTGATTCTGCCGCTGCATCGAGCTGATAGTGTTCCGCCTTCACCATCCGGTCGACCGAGCGGAGAGAAGCATCCAGAAACCGGCCAAGACCCAGAGACCTGTCATGCGACAAAAATCCACGAACCTTTTTGAACATTGTGTTCGAAAAGAGTGTCCGTCAGACATCAAAAAGACGATCAGCTTTGATGTTTAGCACCACTTGCAGTCCCTGAAGAGTCCCAGTCGGGGGACAACTTTCAAGCGTCCGAGCTGTGTGGTCCCTGAGGCTCCCATCGCCACGAGGGTGCGGAGCCCAAAAATCCGAGTGTGTTGGAGGGGTTGTCACCATGTGAGTGAAAAGACCAGGGTGTTCGCAGGATTCTGCCTGCAGTTGCCAGGATTGGGTCACATTCTACATGAGTCTGTTGCTTGATGAGGGGTGGAACCGGGTTCCGACCACTTAGCTTCGGTCCAAATGGGCCTGGGTGGTTCCGTGGTCTTAGGGAGACCTTTCAAAGACACCCCCAAAAGGACACATCAACTCCAAACTCAGTAATGAGTGTTTTATTTTCCTCAAAAGATTAGGACCTAGGCTGTCCCAAGCAGGGAGAGGCCGGAGGATCTGCCTCTTGTACTCCATGTGACACACCGTGGGTCAAGACACAAAGACCGAATGTCTAAATCTGTGGCCCTCAAGGTCAACCGCGTCAAGGACTGGGTCAGGCGCCGCCACTCAGAGGCCGGTGAACCGAAGTGTGGTTTCGCTGCTCTGAAGCTGCTTAGCATGAGGGTGCAAGATGATTTCCGATTCTCTATGGTGTTCCAAGCGATTTAGATCTTTTTCACCAGAGTGAGAAGGGCACCCTTCCAATTTTTGAGTGACCGGGGCTGCTATGAATCTGAAGAAGATACGGGCAGATAGGAGCTTTGGAACATTGAGAAGATTGAAGTTCAACGTTCAAATAATGTTGTTCTCTTCAGCCTTCTTGCTTTCTGTCACCTTGCCCATCAGGTTTCTGTATCAACAGAGTATCATTTACAGCATCTTACAGCCAAGTTGAAGCTTGCTAGTCTGAGCTCATAACTGTGGCTTCCACATTGGTGGAGTAGTTCCATGTGGTCATGGTGGCGTCCTGTGTTGCGCCAAACGTTAAGGCTGGGGTATGGCCACTAGACCCCCAGGGCGCCTGACCCCAGCCCCCAGAGACGAGCCCTCTCCAGGTGGGCAGGAGGTGCACTGGGGCGGGGCGCGTCGGAGCATCTAAACGCAAGACGCGCAAGACGCTATGCGCATGCGCACGGGAGGCGATGGGGTTTCCATTCCGAAAAAGAATCAGGTGTGTGAGAGTCACATCAGATCATCATGTTCGACTTGTTCGACAGCTTCCGGCAGTTTTTTGTCTCGCCTTGCTCCTTAGAAAGAAGGTCTGTGTCATTGCTTTTTGAAGCACCAGTGAGCGGAAGATGGAGATAAAGATAACTTGAAAGCACATTGTAGCCATGCGCGCAGAGACAGACACAAACACAGATACAGTATTCGCGTCGACCTTTGGAAGCAAGTGTGGGTTCCAACTGGATTCCAACTGTATCAACCACACAGACACACAGAGCGGGAACCCACACTTGTTTTCTACAAGCATACCAGATCTTGGCAGGGCCTTGCCGCGGCTCAGCATTTGCATTGTTGGAACCGAGCTCCAGTGTTCCAAGACGAAGGAAGGCATCGAACGAGCGTCCTGGCCGAAGTACACGACGTTTTGATGACTTGGAATTCGGATCCAGGCAGCTTATCAAGATCTATCAAGCGAACTTCACCGAGTTATCACGTTTTCGAAGTTCGGGTTCAACTCTTCCTTCCCCACGTGGAAGACCGACTCTGGGGGCGGTGACCAGGAGAACACGTCGAAGTTGCTGGTTTGGAGAACGAGCATTTGTTACCAGTGGGGATGCCCTTGTTACTAGTAGCTTCTTGTTACGAGTAGTAAGACCAGGAGCCTCTAGTAGCGATGCACTTGCTCCGTTCGTAGCGATGCACTTACTCCGTTCGTAGCTTCTGCCCTTACTGATTGCTGAACCCATCCACTCTGCTTCGTTCGGCTCCGACTCGCACGGGCTCCCAACTCCACGTGGCAATTGGAGCGACGCACGGGCTCTGGTAGCTGGCAAGTCACGACTTCGTCACGACTTCCCAAATTTGACTACTCATTCTTGGATTTTCTAGAAAGATGCCAGGATCAAAGGATGTGAATATATACATATATATATATATATGAGTGGTGAAGTCTTTTTACAAGGGGATTGTAGGATCTTTTATACAACTTGCTTCTATGAATTCATCCTCATTCCTTTATTCATTTAGTCGACCTTTCTTGAACATGTCCCAGCTGCACCAGCAAAGAGTTTTGACCATTTGAGGCCACCATTCCGCCACCATCATCCGCATCATGCGCATTTTTTGGCGTGTGACGGACACTTGCAATCCATGATTTCATCTATATACTATATACGTATCCATCCAACGAAACATGCAACTGGAATGTCCTCCGTGTCTTTGCGGAGGAATCCTACTAATTGTCCCATTTCTTTCCCGAAGAATGCAACACATACACTGTTCATGAAAAAACACAAACAGTTCTTTTGGATCAACCCATTTGTCCCTCAACTTCCGGTGCAGACGCTGAGGCAAAGGATGCCAGGAGCGTTGCCCGCGCCCGCGCGGTGGACCGCCCTTGGCTTCGAGGAAGCACGGGGAAGTGGACCGGAGACGTCAGCAGAAGACGAGGGGAGGAGTTTGGGAGACTCGAACTTCACGAACCAACCTCGTGAAAGCTTGAATGCTTTCACTTCATGAGATCATTGCGCCAGCGCACCATCCACATCCTGCGTCAAGCACAGCGGAAAGCCTCCGCCTATGTGCATTTGATGGTCTCTTGGGGTCTGAAAATCCATCTTCCGGCGTGGGCAGCTGGTCACGGCCGCGAGTCATGGAGTCATGATCAGCCGGTTTCTTCGGGTGTCAACAGTGTCGGGCGATCCAGCTGGTGCGTGTCACACGAAATGGAATTGGTCGAAGCAACGGGGTGCTTCCCCAACTAACGTTGCCTGTCGGCTGTCAGGGCGTCGCGGACGAAGCCGAGGATGAGGTGCGGGGAGGTGAAGGGAGGTTGGGATCAAGACCCGGAGTACCTAGACCTTGGTAGGGGAATATCATTTTTTTGTCAACTGTTGTTAAAATGGGTGTCAAGTCTCAATGTGCCTGGTCGCTCTTCCCTCAGTTTGGAGGGTTCAGTGGATTGAACAGCCACTGGTCGGGCTTTGCGGATGGTCATCCAATTCACAGTTGTCTTCAGAGTCATCGTCAAGTAGCTTCAGCAGTGCAGAAGTCGTCTCCGGTCTGGCGTGCGGCATCTCCGCGCGTTTGTGTGGAGGTCTCGTACAGAACCGCGAAATGAAAGGATGCAGCGAAGGTAAAGACCTGAATGAGACTGAAGATCACTGAGGAAGGTCTCTCCTCAGTGTACTCCCGGCACACTGAAGATCAGACTGATCACCATCTAGCCACAGAAGACCCGTGTTTGTTGAGGGTAAGGAGTAATTGGTTTGCGGGGTTTGGCCAGTAGAGTGTTTGTTCTTGAGAAGACCCCTACGGTGACAGGGCCGTTTTGTTGCCATTAAGAAATGATCAGTGCTCAGGACCGTCTTCTGCGGCATAGGCAGAAGAACCTGGGAGAAAGCCGGACAAATGCTTTAATGTCTTTCCGAACCTATCAAAACATCGTTCGGATTGTTTTAACCTCCTTTATGGTCCTTGCCCCAGGACTTGGTGGCACCTGGTAGCTAGAAACCCAGCATGTCAGCATCCGACAAAAACCTTCCGTACATGCACTTAGTCATGAACTTCCTCAAGAAGAAAGCAACTGAGTTGATCCAACACCTGGTAAAACCCATAGAGGCCAACGAATTCCTCCGATTTTTGCATGCAGCTTGTTCAACCGCTTTCTTAGCTCTTTGGCGGGGTGACCACGCAACCCAGGGGCAGGTCCAGTGCCCAAGAAGCCGCGACCCGTGGAAGTGTCCATATTGGAGCGGCTTAGAGATGGGAGGGTCAGACAGCGCGAACGGCAGGCAGGAGAGAGATTCTTGAAGATCAGACAGTGGGATCTATATACATATATTGATCTTATAATGCTTTTTTCAGAATGTCTACAACGAAGTTAGATTACTGTGACAGCTTGGAGATTGTTCTTTCGAAGAGCTTCAATACAGAATTTAGCAGAATCTCCATGAAGGATTGCTCCTTCTGCCGGATGTCCTGCCTGGTCTCCCCTAATCAATCGGCTTGTGCTTGTACCGCAGACACAACCAGCTGTTTGCGGGGATTTTGAAACGTGACAGACATGTTTCGCATCCAGGAAGTTTCTGGATTTTGTTGTGTACTCCATGAAATCGCATGCATACACGGGTTATCGTAGGTTAAATTGTTTGTGGTTTGAACAGTTTCAAGTCGCGCCCGTTTCCTTTGCAACTTGGTCATGTTCCACTTCAATTGTTTGGACACATAATATATGTTGTTCAATAATCACACGCGACCCAGGTGTTTTCTTGTAGCATTTCCTCCATTGAAAGCAGCTCAGATGGTACCAGAAACTGACGCTGGGATTTTGCTCCTTCGGGTTCGGCAGAGATCGTTCCGAGTCTGTTTGGGCAGACAAGACGAACCAGAAGTCTTGTGTTGCGAAGGAACGTTCCAGGGAAGCTCCTTTGATTCGATGGGTATGGTTGGCTGGTAGTCGTATTGTGCACTGCGAGAGATGACAGGTCTGTCTTTTAATAGGGAACCCGCAAAAAAAGTCAGTTGACATTGTGTGTTATGTGAGTTGAGCGCAACTAATTTGATCAATTCCAATTGATGTTTATCCATTTCAATGATAATTGACTTTAAATTTGGCTTGTTATCCAAGATTCTGTCATTTTTGTGCAACCAAACATGATAGTCATTGCGAATTAGTGATGAATTCCATGTGTTGTCTGATACTAGTAGCACCGTTGGTGTCGGTGAATACTCCTTCTTCTATATTCTAGGGGGTCAAGTGGGGATTTCCCAATTCTAATAAACGCCCATGAGTTTTTGATAGATCATGATGGTCCAGCACTTTCCAGACGAGTTTTACCAGCAAGCACAGCCCAGTGCCCGATCCTGATGATACTTGCTCGCACTTCGAAGAGATGTGCTTGCATACACACTTGTCCATATAGGATGTACTTTATTTTCTTACATCTGAGATGCCAGATACTGATGGAGCCCACTGGGAATTTACACTCCAGGTGTCGCCAGCGGAGTCACCAACAATCTCCCCACATCGGTGGTGATCAGATGCAAATGGAACTCTCTGGAAATACTGGCTGCGAGTCAAAAGCCAACGGACCAACAACTCTCCCCGAAAGTGGATGATTTGGACAGCTTTTGGACGACAGGGAACTAGCAACCTTCGGGGGGGAGGAGGTACTTATACTTGTACGGAAGGACCTACATCCGACGATTTCAGGAACGCTGGCCGCCATCGTTGGAGCTTCTGGGCGTTTCGGGTGGGCTAAGTCCCTCGCTCGCATGGGCACGCGTAGCGATCTTGGGGGAAGTCGTTGAGCAAAGGGGGTTCCGGATTCAGCTCATGTCTTCTTTGGTTGACCAGTAGATTCACTAATTGACATTCCTTCAGACTCGTAGACCACGAGTTGTATAATGAGTTGCTTATGAATCTGAAGGTCTCAAGAGAAGAGGAAGCCAAGGAAGCCCTGCCTTTGGTCTTTCATCATCGTCCTTCACCAGCTCTCAGTTTCTCAGCCTCCAACGGAAGATTTCGGAGAAGGAAAGGACTCAGGACTCAGGACTTGCCGAGAGAAAGGCACTCGAGCCTACCATGATATTTGTATCTGTATTGGAGACATCATGAACCACTTAGTGATAGGCAATATGATGTGATCAAGGACGTTTCCAGATACTGTAGATCACAATTATGCTACCATGCCGGAGGCAGTCTTGGCACAAAGCTGCAACACGTCGGTGCTTTCTGATCTAACTCTGCTCATTCATTGCCGGCAGAGGCTGGAGATATGCCAGCTGCGATTCTCTTTGCTTCAATCCTACTCCAAGTATTTCCGTGAAGTGGTCTGGCTCCTGCGACACTGGCCTACCTACCCCAACGCTCGAGCTACCCCCGGCCCAAAAAGAGCTGTTCACTTGTGTCAAGTGGGTGATCCACACTGGTGTGTCGTCTCGGAGATCGAGAGGCAGAAGGCTCGAAGAATCACGAGGAATCATGTACATGCAGTTTGATGTGGCCATGTCCCCCTGTAGACTCGCAAGCATCTTAGATGTTGGCCAGCTGGGCAGCTTTTCGGCGGTGAGTTCTCAGATGTACAGGAGCTTTGAGGAGCTGGATGAGTGCAAACGAAGGAAGCAGCGCTGCTGGGGTGCTTGGAAATCAGGGACCAAACAACAAATTCTGAAGATGATGCATGACCTGGAAACGGTGAGTTTGCCGCACTCCTCCAAGCTTCTAGACGGACAGCGAGAGCATCTTGCGCATTTGTTTGAGAAGTTGCGCCATGGCATCTTGGGTGGAAGCAGTGATCTTTTTTACATACCACGGGAAGCTTTTGAAGTCTTCAGTGCTTATGCTGCTGTCTTCAAGAAGCATGCCGTAGACATGGAAATCGCACAGCCAACCCTCCTCACCTTCCTGCCAGTTCTCTTGGCCATCGGCCTACAGAGCTTTGACTGCCATGGCAGTTGCTGCGAGTGGGTGCGCGAAAAGGCGATACTTTCGAGAGACTTTGTTTGTGGACACCGGATCAACTATCACAACACTGAGGTACTGAGGGCTGTGACTAGCTTGATCAATCCCACAGGTGAAGGAAAGAGACAGAAAAGCTGGCTATCCAGTACCACAGCACTTCGACAGGAAATCCATGCCTTGCAAAGCCAAAGGGATGAGACGCTCAGGAGCCCAAACACACCAAGCTCGGTGGTAAATCACACAGAGCTCAGCCTATCAAGAGGAGATGTCCTCCAGACCTTTCTGGTCAACCAGACCAACAGTTCGGGAAGAGCCACGCGCACGCGCCTGTCGAGCCCTACAAGAGCTATGCGCCTGCAAAACCCTGCGGAGCTGGTGCCGCTCGGAGCCACCGTCATGCTGGTCTTTCTGGCCTTCAGATGCGGCTGTCGCTTCAGCCGTCGCTTCGCTTCAGCGTTTCTGAACGAACTCGGTTGAGCGGGTGCAGATGAATTCATGTTTTCATTGCACGTCTTAGAGGAAGATGAAAGATCTCTTGAAGAGACTGTTCCTTCCTTTGCATTTCCTCTAAGGCCTTGAAGAAATGGATGGTGGAAAGAATAAGAAGAACCTTTTGCGGGGGGGTCAGATTGACACTCAGATCATTCCCCAACCTGGCAGAGAAGCCAGAAAATATCAGACAATTCCTTAACAAGCCATGACCCCCGCCTGACATGAGCCTTCTTGACAAGTCGGTCCGGAGCTCGTGACTCAAGGCGCCGAAATCATGTCTTCTGCTCGAGGGGTCCATCTTGATTGTCAAGGATGCTGGTTGCAGTTGTGCCACCTTCACAAAGAACATATGCAGCATGATGCCGAAGCCATGAGTATGGTGCCATTGAACTGCACCAGCTCCGATTTCGATAAGACGATGAAGTCGCTACAACGACATCCCTGTTCAGGGTGAGACAGAATTGGCAACTTTCTATGAGCTTCTGAGTCTTACACGTTGTGTCAACACCGGGAGGAACATCAACTTCACAGGCGAACCTAAAGGATCTCATGATGACTCATGATCGCATGATCCTCTCATCATTTGTCGAAAATCCCTGTGGCCAGGGCAACTCCTATTGACTCATGTGCTCGGTCCTTCCACTGCACCCCATGGCGCCGCTCCCACTCCACGCCGCTCGCGGCGCGCTCCCGCGCGCGGTCCGTCCGGCCGCGCGGGCACGTGGCGCGTGCGGCACCAAGGCGGGTGCAGGGTGTGGGGTTCATCCAGGTTCGATTGAAGGGGAAGTTTCATTGAAAAAGATCCTAGATTTGTACCACCTTCATCCAAACACCCAGTGAGAAAAGGCGAATCAGAGCCTGGAGGTTCGGATTCCGAATTCATCCAGAGGGGGGGGACAGGGTGGGAGACCTCCCAGGTTCTGAGACAAGCTGATTTCCAGTCATTCAAATCTGATACGGGTGAAGTTGGTAAACCAAACATGTCACATGTTCATTTCTTTCACACAACAGGCCACCGGCACAGTGTCCACAAGAATGGTGTCCAAATACTATCAAATACTATCAGTATCAAATATACTTTCAAGTGACCTGAGACTGACGGAAGATTCCTGGGTTATGAGTGGTGCTTGGACGTGCTTGGTCTGTGAAGGAGGACTTCTTTTTGAGCAATCAGATTTCGATCACTCAGATGGACTTTCCTAGAATTCTCATGAACATATTTGACACCTGCAAACACTCAACAGACAAGTAAGACAAGATAAGAGAAGTACGAAGAACAATGCAATCACTTGGTTGAGGATTTCACCTGTTTCCTTGTTTCCTCCCGCAAGTCTGATCACATGGCTTCGCAGACGGAGCCTAAGTCTGATCACTCTAGGTCTTTGAACGATCATCTACCACCGTGCTCCGTGCGTCCGATCCGTGCTTCATGTCCGATCCGTGCGATTTGAACGCCCTCATGGCCCCCAAAAGGGGTGATTGATGGTGATTGGGATACTTCACAGGTCATACCTTTACAGAATTTTATGCTAAATTAGATCATACCTTAGAGACATTTTACCTTTACTTCACAGATCATACCTTTGATCGCCATCTCCAGAGATCCTTTCTCCACCGCCGGTGATACCTCCACGCCTTGGAGAGAGCGTGGCCTCTCGAGTGGCCCGAAGAGGAGAGGAACCCCCTTGCCTCGAGTGGGCCGAAAAAAAGACGCCTCTTTCAGAGGCCGAAACGCCTCGAAAAAGAGGCTTCTCTATGCTTCTCTTAAACAATGAAAGAGACCATGAGGATTCTGAAAGATGGGCATCAGCCAAGTGGCTGAAGAGTTGGCTGGTTTTGATTCCTCCACAAGAACCACCTAACCATTTCCCATGTAAAGGATTTCAATTGCCATATTGGAACAACCATTTGTTTCTGGTTGTTTGGGGTTCCAGGCATCCAAAGCTATTCGCCTCCAATTCTCGTGACACCGTTCCTTCCGACCGTTGTCACCGATACCGGCGCTTTCCAGGTCTGGGTGCCACTGGTGACCTCGCAAGTCGCTGCTCGGGGAGGGCAGGCGACGAGACGCTGTAGACGCTGTCCGTTTCGGGAGACGCCACATGGAACAGGCGTAACAAACAGCTGCGTGGAACACATGGCCTAAACACGGCTCGTGTTGAAATCGGCGCCACAGAGAACTGAAACCGGATTCCATCCCGAATTGTGGATCGTGATGTGGAAGTTTTTTGGATCGTTTGCTCGTTTTTTGGGCTCGATGAGGAAGTCAACAGAACCGACCAGCGACCAGCGACCGCCAGGCTCGAAAGGCCTCTGGACGGCCGGTGGCTGACTTTAAGGCAGGTCCTTTTGGTCCTGCTTAGGCGTCCTAAAGGCTCAAGGCATTTCAAAGGCATCTATTCATATCTATACTATTCAACTCCATCTATATTCAAAGCCCTTTCAGAAAGAAAAACATGGAAAGACACATCAGAACCTCCAGTTGGACACCTGTTTGATGTCGTTCTTTCGCAGGTCGGAGATGCGGTGACGGGCACCGTCACGCAGATCTACTGCCCGGGTGGCGTGTCGGTGGACGTGGGCTGTGAGACCTTGGCCTTCTTGGAGGTTGAGGAGACACAGAAGTTCGAAATGCTTCGGATCTAGTTGGAGGAGCAAGTTGATTGCAATTACCATGGAGATGACATGTGTTTCTGTGTTTGAAAAACCTGGAGATCCAGGCTCCTCCTTGATCCGTTGACCCAGCACCCAGCAGGTCCCAGGTCGGGCCCAGTGGAGGTTGGTGAATGTGTGCTCTACCAACCAGTTTGAGCCCAGTTCCTGAGATTGACTTGGAACTTTGGTGGCTACCAACTCTGAAAAAGAGAGGTCTTGAAATTCTTGAAAGTCCTGTTAGAGGCATTGGATGATGACATTATATACTCTTGTAGCTTGTCAGTAATTGAGTCGAACCTTTTTTTTAGAGGTTCTGGCAGCAGTGACTTCTGTCAGAACCAAATGTTTGGTGAAGGAGTTCTCAGATGGATTTCCTGCAGAGGGGCCCTTTCGTTTCCGGCCGGGAGACACCGTGCACGCGCGTGTGCTGGATGTGAACCCAGATGCCAGGCACGGAACGTGGGCTTCGTCATCTTTCTGTTTTCTTCTCAAGAGTGTGTGGTGAGTGAGTGCTTCTCAGAGCATGCTTCTCCTCATAGAGCCAATTTGAGAGAGTTCCATCATGTTCTATAATGTAGACTCTTGATTAATCAGCCCCCCCTATGAGGAATTTCAATTCAGTTGGGTGGGTTTATTAATCAGGACCGTTCCTGTGTGGTTGACACCTCCAAGGCCACCAGACAGAGTGACCGGGTTCCCCGGCTGGACCGCTGCGACCGGCCGAAGCCGGTCCTTCCCGGTGGTGCCGGTCCTTCGCAGGGTCGAGGACCATGGTGAACCTGACCCCTTCGGGGAACATGGTGACACCGGCTTCTTGGTGAGAAGCAATTAGTCAAGGGAAGGGAAGGTGAGGGAACACTATGGTGAGGGAACACCATGCTATACAACAACTTGAGCTTTGGGCTGCATTCTGCCGTATCTTGCACATTCACTTTTGGAATTTCAACATATCTTCGATCTACCACACTACAACCAATAACAAGTGTTGGTTCCAAAAAACAGACATGTGTGGGTATCGACTTGCAATGTTGTTTAACTTTATCTTCCGCGTCGTGACAGGCTCAAGACGCCTGACAATCTTGACAATAGCTTGCATTCTAGCGTTGCTTGGACAATGTTCCACAAGTCTCTAGCAGTGGTCGTTGTGGCCTTGCTTGGCATGTCGAGGGCCATTCGCAATGAGCAGAGCCTTGAAGAGGCAAACCAGGAGGAGATGTATCGTTGCCTGATCAAGCCCGACCCAATGCAGTCTGGTCCTGCAGAAGATGTTGCAACCGAATGCGTCGAGGCAACAACCAGCAAGTCCATCCAGAGTCTGGGATAAGATGACAACAGTTGTTCTATTTTCCCCAACTCACTAACATCACATGGAGGGCAAAAAGGCACTGTATGTATCTGTTCGTTAAGAAGCATTGTTTCATCTTGTTTTTGTGGGTCTATGAGTCATAATGAGGGTCTATGACTCGCAAATCCAAGGGGTTATTGCAA